TCGGCGGGGTCGCAGCTGCCTTTGGAAGGCACCGAGAGGTACAATAGTGCGCAAATGGTCAAAATCAAGGTTTTGTAACGCGAGCTGTGCCACAGTGAAATGGAACTAGCCTGAGTTTTATGTGCCTATTTAAAATGCTGTTGCACGGATGATCCGAAGGTGGAAGATAAAAGAATTTAAACAAGACAACTCTCTCTCACAGAACTCTCTCACAGCACACAGGCTCGACAAAAAAACTTCGTAACTCCTTGGCGACGAGCCGCGGGCTTTTGCCATTGCGTGCCAGCCTCAGACAGCCGGGCCGCCCGAGAGTTTTACTGACGAGTTTCTCTCGCGGGGGCGGCCCGGCACAACCAACCCTGTGCTCAGCACAAAAAAAATTCTGGCGCAGCGGCCGGCGTGAGCCGCGCCAGCTGTCGACAGATGTCGACAGATTTGATGGATCCCTTGATGGTCCGATGGGCGACGGGCGACCCCCCCAAACCCCCCCACCAGGTCTCGAACCTGCCTCCACTCGCTCGAATCAGGCGCTCCGAACGGCTCTGCAAGCTTGCAGAATTGACGACTAATGCTTCACTGCCTGATATAGTACCATTTTGTTGCTTCAGCATCAACGCCACGCCACGTTCTAGGGACGCAGAGCGCGCACTGAGAGACCACTCACATCGCTGTTGCGGGGCGGCAATGTGACTGGACTCGCCGTGCGCGCCCAGCTAACCCTAGCCACCAGCCTGCGCCATACCCAGGTACGGTCGCACCTGTCTCTCCACCTATCACCCCAACTCCTCGGGCGACCGCGCGGCTGCGCTACTCACAGGCAGTCTCCCTGCCTCAGCTGTTACAGGCACCACCCACCGACCAGTCTCGACGACGAGCCGCGGCAGGGCTCGCTGCGCCGCTGCACAGCTTTACGCCACAACACAACATATCAACCAACGTAACCTCCCCCTTAGTGACCCACCCTTGCGGGCTCAGTTGCCGCATTAGGAGCCTTCGCACCGCGAGTGGGCTCAGGTGGGATCCACGGAGAGAGAGGTTCCATACACAGCCGCACTCTACACACCTTACCCCCTCTACTCGGGCGGCATCGTGGTGAGACCCTGGGCAGTCAGAGAGGCTGACAGTAAGTGGCGGGCTGAGAACTCGGGCCTCTCCCGACCCGCCATCGCTGCCTAAGGGAGGATCCTATCGGCCACTAGACCATGACAGATCAGAGGCGCACACGCCCTGTCCCAGCTCCCCCACTCCTCACACTGGGTTTGCAGTGCGCGGCCTCGCCACCTCCCTACCAGGGCAAACCCCCTCTCTCCCCCTAGGTGCTGCACTTGGCCGCCCACCGCGTAGAGCTTGCCATCCAACACCGCCGTGCCGACATACCTTCGTGCCGTAGACATCGGCGCCACAGCCTCCCCCTCCCACTCATTTGTTGACGGGTCGTACCGCTCCAGCGAGTTGACAAATTCGACCTCGCTGTCTTCGCCGCCGTCGTGGCCGCCGATCACGAGCAGGCGCGGCCTCTCGCGCTTCTTCAGCGTCTCCTTCCAGCCGCGGCGCCACGCGCGGCACGTCCCCTTGACGGCGTGCTCCCTGGCCGGCAGCTGGGCGAGGATGTGCGGGGCGAGGTCCGGCGAGAGGAGGACTTCGGAGAGCACCCACTCGGGCTGCTCCACGAGCCGAGCGGCGTGCTCCTCCGCCACGCGCAGCGCGGCGTCGCTCGCGCCCGCCTGCGCCTCGATGATGGCGACGAGTTGCTCTGGCGAGAGGCCCGCGACGCGGGCGCCGATGCGGTGGGAGGCCATGGGCCGTCTAAAATTCTTTTTCGAGCTGTGATCGTGCTAGCACGCGCCAGTTCGCACCTGTGTCGAGCCTGTCTGCTGTGATGAGAGCGTTATGAAACAAACGCAAGGCGGGACATGGCATATCGCTCTCGGGCCTTCAGACATCCCGCAGAGAGAGAGAGAGAGAGAGAGAGACTCTCTCACATCCCGCACACCCGCCGCCCCCGCGCGCGCCCCACCCCGGCCGGGAGAATGGGGATTGACAGTTTGGGATGGAAAGCCCGAGTACCTCGCACTCCGTGTGCGAGAGGAGGATTCTTTTTTCGTAGTCGGACGTCTCGGTAGACCTCTTCTCACGACACTTGGCACTGGCACTAACACGAAAAAGAAAGAGAGCGCGCGGGCTGTTGTACCCCGCCTTCGTGTGCGGGCAGGAGGCCTTCAGGAGGCCTTCGTCTGTCACCGGAACCGAAACCGGAAGCTCTGTGGTCTGCCCTCTTTACAATGAGATACCATCATCTCGCAAGACGCTTCAGTTCGGCCGCCCGCCCAGCACCCTTTCGCGTCGGCATTATTGGCGCCGGCGTGGGTGGCGCAACGCTGGCGTCGATCCTGCACCAGTCGGGAGCAAACGTCCAGGTCCATGTGTGGGAGAGGAAGAAAGCGGACGAGCTGCCGGCCGGCTACAATTTGCTCTTCAACCACAACCATATCGGCAGCATGGAGGATGCGAATCCGGATCTAGCCGCTCTGGTCCTGAATGCCGGTACGCCCTTCAAGAGATGGAAAAACCGCACCTTCGAGGGCGAGATCACGATGGACTGCGACGTCCACGGCGAGGGCCTGACCGGTGACGTCGAGTTTGGCTCAATCCTCCGGTGGGACATTGTTTGCGAGAAGCTGCGATCTGCGTGCGGCGACGGCATCCGGTACGAGGCAGGAGTCAGCCACTACTCGTACACGGACGGCGAGATCAAAGTCAGCGTCAACGGCGACGACATCCCTGTCGACCTGCTCGTCGTCTCCGACGGTCGCTACTCAAAGCAGCGCGAGGTGGCAGTGGGCGCGACGACGGTGCATACACTCGACCACGTCGAAGGCAGCGGCATGGCGAACTTCCGCCTCGTATATGAGAATGACGGCTCATTGCCCGAGTTCACCACGCACGAGCGCCTGTACAACTTCCCTGAGGTGTCGCGCTTGCAGCCTGGCGGCGAGTTCGCGCACCTGAGCGCCGCAGCCGGCGCATCGCCCGGCTTCGAGCACGCGTGCATGCGGGGCCACGCGCGACTCGGGATCATGCCGCTCCGCTCGCGCTCCGGGCGCATCGACAGGTGCGCGCGCTGTGCACCTCATGCGCCATTGCTGCCGTCCTTGTTGTGCATCCCCTGAGTACTTGTCGGTAGGTACGCGGCGTACGGAAACTTCCGCCTCGACGGCGAGGTCCCTCCCGAGGCGAGGACAGCAGAAGGCCTTCTGGCCCTGTACAAGCCGCGAGGCGAGCCCGACGCGCTCGGCAGGTTCGTGCTGCGCGGCCTCGCCGCGAACGCCGACCAGATCTACTGGGCGCGCATGCAGCGCAGCCCGACTCATTACCGCGACAGCAGGGGAGGCGTGCTCCTCATCGGCGACGCGGCGAGCGGCTTCTTCCCCTCGCTCGGCCAAGGCGCGGGCGCGGCCATCGAGGACGCGTGCTGCGCGGCCAGCGTCCTCCTCGGCGCGCTGGCGAAGAATGAGCGCCGCGGCGGCGCGATCGACGTCGCGGCGTGCACCGCGCTCGTCGACTCACTCCGCCGCGCGCGACGAGGCTTTGTTGCCGACCTGTCGGATCGGCACACAGCGCACATGGTGCGAGGCGGGCGCGACGCCCTCGACGCTTTCGAGCGCGACGAGTGGCGGGCCGACGGGGGACGCCGCCGGCTGACGCAGCTGTGGACGGACTACCCGCGGGCGAAGGCGAGCTTCGCGGCCGCGTATGCGCTGTAGTAGTGATGGGGCCTGCGCCAGAGACCGGCGTTCGCTGTATCTGCGGCTCAGTACATTGCTCATTCCTCTCTCACATTTTACTCTCAGTCACCACGCGGCGATCAGGGCAAAAGATCGCAAGGTAGGTAGGTAGGTAGAAAGGTGAAGAACAGCCAGGCTCGGACTGGACACCAACGCGGTATGGGTGGACGCTGGACAGATGATGACGACACGCACGAGCGACAACATATTAAAAAAGAAACCGCCCGCGCGACCATCCATGAGGGGTACACGCATGCGAGCTTCACTTGCGCCTCGCCTTGTGTCAGCGTCACTCGCGACTCGCTTTGCAACAGCGTCGAAGCATGGGACATCGCTCTCCGCAGCGTCGCGGCATGCGGTGAGCGACGAAGCATGGAACATCTGGGACGCACTCGGCATGCCGCGACCAGAGCCCGGGAGCGTCAACGTGCTGGCACGCTCCGCCGACGACTCGCGGCCGGCGGCAGTCAAGGCGCGCGCGCCGTTGAGGCCGCTGGACTCGGGACCAGTGCTGGTGCTCTTCGAGAACGATCGCGTCCGGGTCGCCGACTTTCGGCTGCCGCCGGGCGGCAGCTTTCACACGTCGCACGAATATGCGACGGTGCGATGGCAGGTGGAGGAAGGCCAGCACGCGCTTAACGGCGCGAGCTGCGAGAGTGTGCGCGACAAACAGGTCTTCTTCCTCGAACCCGGCGAGTCGTGGGAAATCCGCAACACCGGCGACACGGTCTACAGGCAGATAACCTTTGAGCTGAAGCGGCCGCCAAGGCGCACGGAGGCGGAGGTTGCGGCGCTGCTGAGGAGCGCCATCTACTCGACCGACGTCGGCACTGAACTGCTTCTCGAGAACAGATGGTGCCGCGTGTGGGACTTCTCCTTCCTTCCGGGCGGCGGCGCGCACGATTTTTGGCGCAGGACCACTCTCCTCGAGCACTCCGAGAGGGCCCGTTACGAGATTAGGCGCGGACGAGGACGTCCACCACCACGTTCTCGACTACGTCTTCGTATTTGCCTATCCCGGCCGGCTGCTGCTCTCGAACCACGACGGATCGCCCGGCCTCGCTGACTCGATCAACGGCGAGAACGACGTGACGTGGAATGAGATCCCCGACGGCGCCGCCTCCATACCGACCTTTGCGCACGGCGGCAGGAATGGCTTGGACGACCGTCCGATGCGTGAGTACCTCGTCGAGCTCAAGTGAGGGTGTGAGCGCACCAAGTGCTAGCTAGTAGGCCGATAGAGAGGCGACACACAGTCGAAAGGGACAAGGTGCGACTCTCTGTCTGCCCGTACGTTGCGCATGTGCATGTCTGAGATGCGTGTTCACTCTGTGAGTACACCCTGGGTTGAACGAGTCGGAGAGCGTGGGATTCGTCGCAGCCGCCTGGTCAGGGCTCTTGGTACTTGGAGCAACACCGCGTGGGGCTCCTCTTTGAGCGGTGGCAGCGGAGCGCCAACCGGATCCGGCAGGTTCTCCGCAATCTACTCGACTTATTACGCCTTCGCCGCGCTCACAGCGGACGGGTCCATCTCCGCGTGGGGCGGACACGGGAGAGGATGTCATAATGACTGCCGCCTACCCATGGGCATGGCCACCTGGCCACAAACACCTTCTCCGACGCCACCCCTTCTCCCGACACTATGCATAACACCTTTGACGGCAAGCCCGCTCTCCAGACCGCCGCGGGCGCGGCCCCTATCGCCAGAGCCGACGCCGCCAGTCACGACTATGCACATGTCGCTTCTACGCCACCTCCCTCAGCCAGCAACGCGCGGGCCGTGCGCGGTGGGTATCGCAGCGAGGTTCTCCGCACCATGCTCCATGGTTCGCACACATAAAAGCAAAAAGGGAATTCCCAGTCAGTACCCTCTCTCCCCGGTACGGCTCTGCCTAGTCTGCCTATTGACTCTCGCGTCTCGGCTCTATCTAGCCTCTAACTGTAGGCACGCTAGACTCTAGACTGTCAGTGAAGACCCCGTGGATATAGATCGCTTCACGCCGGTCACGGAGGGCGGGTGACATGCCGTGGTGGGGAAGGATCCGCTCAGGCGCAGCAGACCCCACCCACCTTGCTCACCTGGTAGGGCACAAAGTATACGCACTTGCCGACGGCGACCGCGCCGAGGTACTTGTCCCCCCCTCGCGCTCGAAACCGGCCGAGGCGGTGTCGATCCGGCTGACGCCGCCGCTCTCAGAGTCGTACACCATGGGTCCTCCCTCGGCGGCCAGCACGCACTTTGCGTGACGTTATTGTTACTATCCGTGCGACGCTTGCAATAGGCGTGATGCCGTGGCAGCTCTCCGCCTCGGCGGAGACGGTGCCGCGCGTCAGGATCTACCTCGACGACGCGCGCCTCTCGCTCTGTTTGCGGCCGCTGCAGCCCGCTCACAGCGCCGGCTCGCTCGACACCATCTCCTGCGCGCACAAGGCGACGGCGGAGCAGGGCGAGGCGACGCGGCTGGCGCTCAGCCTGGCGCTCAGCCTCGACGCCCCGGCAGTCAAGGCGGCGCTCTCCGCCGCCCCGCCGCTTTCTCTCGCCTCTTTGCTCACTTCGCCCCAGCCTCACGTAGGGCTTCAACCCCGTCACGCTCTCGTGGATGAAGTTCTTCCCAAAGACAGAGCGCTTCTTCGAATGCCTGCGTTTTCTCTTTGCTTGGCTGGAGGTGCGCTCGCGCCGACACGCGTTTCTCGCCCCTCTGTCCCACTTCGGCCCCTGGCTGCGCTCTCTAGGCGCAGCGCCAGGTCGCCACCGCCGCTTGCGACCCCTGGGCGGCGGCCGCGCACCCGGCGCTCGTGCCGCCCAAGCCGTTCCACAGCGTCGGCGCGGCTGGCACCGCTGGCGAGCTGCACGCGCGGCGTGCTGCCCGCGCCGACCCGTCCCTCGAGCCCTCTCCGGGCGACGATTGGGTGCAGCTCGCGAGCGGGCAGCCCGAGCCGGCTGCCGCCGCCTCCAGCTCCGGCCGCGGCGGCAAGTCCAAGAACGGCGCCGGCAAGCAGCGGCTCTGAGCGTTGGCCTGGCCGCGCTCGAGCCGGCGCCGCAGCCGCTCGAGCCACGGCTCGAGCCGCACTCTACCATGTCTCTCCCTGCTGCCCTCTGCACCTAGGGCAGAACTGCACACCTCTGTACCTCTGTGTAGTTCTGTAGAGTACAAGAGTCGAACCTGTGTCGGTGAGAGAGTTGTTTTTGTTGAATTCTGTAGAGTACGTGCGGCTTTTTGTGTGTCCTCTCGAGTGTTGAGGGAGTATGTTGCACGCGCTCACACAGCATGCGGTGTTGACACTCCGTACTTGCTTGCTTCATTGATTACGAAAACGGGGCTCGCCTCCTCAAGCACATATGGCTCCACCGCACCACTCTCCCGCGGCACAGCGGACAGGCGCCAAGGTGAGCTACCTGAGCTTCCTCCTCGTCCTCCTCCTGGCCACGCTGCTCCGCGGCGCGACGCCATTTGTAGACGCACTCGGTGCAGCACCAGTGACGGCACGGGAACAGCTGCGTCCACTCGCCGCAGCTCCGCACCGTGCGGCGGCAGACGGCGCAACCCTCGCGATCCGGGTCGTCCAGCTTCTCCATCAAGCCGTCCGCCTCGAGCTCGCCCACGGCGCCAATCAGCGCCGCATACGCGGCGCCCGCGAGGCTGAAGCGCCCGGCGTCGTCCCGGGCGGTGTGCTCCTCGCGCGGCAGCCCGTGCTCGTGATCGACAAAGTCGAGCAGCGCCCGGAAGCCCGCGCGCCGCTGCTCGGGCCCGAACAGCCACCGCACCCACGCAGTGCCGATGCCACGGCGCACAGAAGGCCACTCGGCAAACGGCCGCACGAGCCAGCTCTGCCAGACCGCCGCGTCCCCCTCCTCCATCTCCGGGTGCGTAATCTCGTCAAAAAAGTCGCGCAGCGCCGCCCGAGCGCCGTGCAGGCGCGAGAAGAGGATGCGGTGCTGCGACCACTCGCCAATCACCACAAACTTGTGCTCGCCGGACGCGGACTCGTCCTCGTACACGCCCGCCTCGTGCAGCAGCTCGGCCCACTTGTCGATGGCGGCGATGCCCGAGCGCGCCGTCGCGACGAGGCGGTCGAGCCGCACCGCGCCCTCGCCGCACGAGAGGGCGCGCACAACCGGCAGCGCCTCGCATCTCCAGCCCCGAGCGCCCCATGCCGAGAGATCTCCCACACACTCCTCCTCCTCCCCCACGGCGTTGGAGAGGAGGCGCAGCGGCGCGGCTGGCTCGTCGCGCGCCTCGCCGTCGACGAATGCGGTCAGCTCCAGCCGCCACTGCCGCGCCACAGGGTCGCCGCTGCCGGCCGGCGGGAGGACCGCTCGGATGCGGGCGGGCGAGTAGAGCGGCTGCCCCGGCGGCGGATCCTCCGCCCGGCGGCGCACCACGCAGCCGGAGAGCCATCGGTAGGGCTCTCCGCCGGCCTCGAGAGGGACGCCGAACGCCTCGGCCGCGTCGCGCAGGAGCGCCTGCCCGTCGGGCGAGAGAAGCGCCGCCGTCTCCTCCGCCGTGAGCACCTCGACGTCGCACGAGGCGGGCGGCTCGACGGCCAGCTGAGGGGGGCACGAGCCGGGCCCGGCCACGTCACGGATGCCGTCTCGCGGGCCGCGGCGGATGGACGTGTCGCTGTCGTGCTCCGGGTACACGTACATGCCGCTGACGAGCTGCACCTGGTAAGGAGGAGCGGCCCGCCCGTCGCGGGTGCCGAGCCAGTTGGAGGGCCAGACCTGCGTCACCCGCCCGACATCCCACTCCCCGCCAGCTTCCTCGTCGAGGATCTCGTCGGACGGTGGATGCGTCTCCACCCGGCGGCACAGCACGCGATCTCCGACGCCAAAGCGGGGGCCCTGGCGGGGACCGACAGCCCTCGCATACGCCACCGCCGCCTCCACCGCCGACTTAAAGGAGCCGAGGAAGAACTTTCGTCCGTCTACCCTGGTCTGCGCCTGGAAGAAGCGGCTAGAGGCGTGCTTGACCACGCCCTTGTAACCGGTGCTGCTCGTGCTAGAGAGGTGCAAGCGCAAGCCCGCCGCCTCCGCCACCACAATTGCAGCTTCCGCCGCCTCTGCGGCGAGATGATCCCGCTCTGGTACTATCTCCTGCTCTGCCGCCGCCGCAGCGGATGCCGCCGCCGCCGCCGCTCTCCACGCGGTGATGCGCTCCTCGCGCTGTGCGCGCGCGCTATCCGACTCCGCTCCGCTCGCACCGGCCAGGGAGGCCTCGCTCGGAAGGGGTACCGTGGTGTGCGCCGCGCGCTCTGAGTGCCCGCGAAGCCGCCGAACGAGGATCTCCGTCCCCATCGCCCCCGACCCGCTGATCGAAGCGGCAGTGGCGGCTGCGGAGCCGGGCGCCGTGCCGTCGCGGCAAGCACCGTCAGCGTTGGGCGGCGCCCCGGGTGGGAGTGGCTCCTCTGCGCCCGCGGAGCCGGCGGCGGCGGCGGCGTCGCCCTGCCCGCTCATCATCGCGCCGCGCGCCGCAGGTCTGACGAAGGCGGCAGCGGAACCGACAGGGTCGGGCTAAAGAGCCATGTCGTTGTCGATCAACCCACCCGCGCGCAAAGCTTCCGCCTCGGGCTCCTCCGCCGGCCGGGCTGGCGTGCCACCGCGGGCCGCCCCTGCGCCCGGCGCCTTCCGCAGCACCCAGGGCATCGCCCTCACACGTCATTTGGGTTGTTGAAACACGTGAGACTGTGAGACGAATCAACGACTGGTTAGGGATATCCTCGAGAATTTTACAACAAAAGGCGGTCGCACGACACGATTCACGCGACAGGCGAGGCGCGGGCGACGGCTTCCTCAGAAGCCGTCGCCCGCACCACAGGAGCCCGACCCGAGCAACCCCGCCCCAACCCGACCCGACCCGATCCACCCCGCCGTGCCCCGCCCCGCCCCCCCCACCGGACTAACCCGCGTGGCCGCTCCCGGCTCCGCCCATCGCCCAACCCACCCGCGCCTGTGCCTGCCACCCGCGCCGCATGTCGTTGTCGATGCAAATGAACTGCAGAGCCGCGCCGACGCCCGCCATCCTCCTCCTCCTCCTCACGCACGCTCATGACACCTCCGCGTTGCGGCTCGCGGTCCGTCCCAAGCTGTGGCTCCTCGATCGCGACGGCTGCATTAACGCCGACGTCGGCTCTCCTGGCGTTGTGCGTCGCGAGGACCTGCATCTGATCCCGGGCAGCGCCGGCGCCATCACACGCCTAAGATTGTTTGCGCCGGTGGCGGTTGTGACGAACCAGAGCGCGAGGGGCAAAGGCCTGCTCAGCGCCGCCGGGCTCGACGAGATCCACGAGCGCTTGCGGCACCTCATCGCCTCGGCGTCCCGCGGCGGACTCGCCTCCGAGGACGGCTCTCGCTGGGACGGCCTCTACGTGTGCGAGGATGCACTTCCGAGCAGCCGCAAGAAACCGGCGGCCGGAATGCTGCTCGAGGCGCAGCGACGGTCAAGCGTGTGCCGAGCGAGGCTCCGGACCCCTTCTCTGACCCGTCCGGGTATTTGCAGGCGCTGCACGACTTTACGTGCGAGCCGAGCGAGGCAGTGATGGTCGGCGACTCGTGGTCCGACGTGGTCGCGGCGCGGCGGGCGGGCTGCCCTCTCCCCCTCCTGCTCAGGCCCCTTCTCGGACCCTTCTCGGACCCGTCTCTGCAGGCGAGGCGGGCGGGCTGTGTGCCCGTCCTCCTGGCGACAGGTCACGGGCAGGCGCTGGCAGCCGCACTCCGCCGCCAGGGCACGCGGCTGCCGGCCTCGCTGACGGCGGCGGCGCTGTCGGAGGTAGATCCTCCTCTCCCGCCACCACCGCCACCACCACCAACAACAACAAAAACACCACCGCCACCACCACCGCCACCACCAGCACTACCACCACAGACGCAACACCACCAGCAGCAGCACCACCGCCGCTGCCTCCACCACCACCACCACCACCACCAACCCACCAACACCAACACTAACACATCACCACCACCACCACCACCGCCGCCGCCGCCTACTCCACCACCACCACCACCGCCGCCGCCGCCGCCGCCGCCTCCTCCTCCACCACCACCAGAGCGATCGTGGAGAGGGTCGGAGCCTCGGGAGGTGTTCTGACGCCTCGTTTGCCTGTGCCCTGCCCCCAGCTGCCTGCCCTCCTGCTAGGAGCGCGCATTGGCGCAGTGGCTCGAAAGCCGGGGGGAGGCGGAGGCGCCCGCGCGACTGCGCAAGGCTCGTCACTTCTTCCCCTCTCCTGGCTGGCGAGCCCCACACCCCGCACTCCCTAGGCGGCGCTGGTCCGCGAGGCTCTCTGCGGCGGGCCTGTCAGCGTGTACGAGACTCTCGCGCAGGCGGCAGACGCACTCCTCGCCTAAGGAGCAATGAATCGTTGACTCATCCGCTCCTACTGAGTGGAACAGGGTCCATTCTTCATTAGGCGGCAGACGCACTCCTCGCACAGGCGAACCGTTGCCACTGCCACTACTGCTGCCACTGCCACTACTGCTGCCACCGCCACTACTGCTGCCACCGCCACTGCTGCTGCCATTGCCACTCCTCTCCTCCTCCTCTGGCCTCCTCCCACCTCCTTTCCCCTCCGCCCCCCCTCTTTTGCCCTCTTTTCACCCCCCCCCCCCCCCTTCCCGCCTTCTCTCACGACCGAGAGAGCTGCCCTCGCAGCAGCACAGGGGGGCTGCTGCACGAAGGCTGGCCGCCCCGACTTTCCGCCGCGCAACGCCGCCCGCCGTGTCTGCCACCGCCTCCTCGCCGCCTCGCCCTCCTGCGCCGCGGCGGTGCGACGCGGCGGGCACTGTCGGCTGTCCTAATCAGCAATGAGTACTTATCCGAACAGTAATGGAGAGTCAGGTGCGACGCGGCGGGCGCTGTCGAGGCTTTCACGCCTGATTTTCTGAGCGGCAAGCAGGCACGCGTCCACGACACGCCCACGACACGCCCACGACACGCCCACGACACGCCCACGACACGCCCACGACACGTCCACGACACGCCCACGACACGTCCCCACGCCCGCCACGTGGTACGTCCCGCAGCTCCGATTCTGGTCTGCGAGTCTGCCGCTGGAGTCGTATGTGTCCGCGCTCGCGACTGCCCCGTCGGCGCGCCGCTCCGGGGTCGGGCGGACGCTGATGTCGCGTGTCGAGGCGATCGTGTGGGAGGCAGGCGAGAGCGTGCTCTCGCTGCAGGTGTGAAGAGAGACTGTTCATAGCACGTATTCACAGTGTGGGAGGCAGGCGAGAGCGTGCTCTCGCTGCAGGTGTGAAGAGAGACTGTTCATAGCACGTATTCACAGTGTGGGATGCAGGCGAGAGCGTGCTCTCGCTGCAGGTGTGACAGACTGCAGGTGCGAACAGGCTGCAGGTGTGAACAGAGCGTGCTCTCGCTATAGGTGGACGAGCTCAACGGGCCCGCCCTCCAGCTCTACCGCGGGCTCGGCTACGAGGTGGCAGCCGCAGAGGCGCGCCAGCACCGCTGGGAACGGACTCTCTTCACGCGTCCAGCCGTGAACAGGTGGTCGGCAGGGAGCGCGCGTCCACCACGCCGTCGAGGTGCGGGCCTCGCCCCTCCGCTCCTTCTTCAGGTCGCGACATCGCTCCGAGCTCACCCGTGCCCGCCCCGAGATCCCCCTAGGTATGGCCTCGTCTCGAAGCTACTGCTCGGCGGTGTGCGGGAGCGGACCTTGCTCGTGCTGCAGAAGCCGCGGCCGCCCGCTGCGGCCGAGGCGGCCGAGCCGGAGGTGCCTCGCGGGCGTGGTGTTGTGGGGCGGTTGCTGCCTGGCGTGAGGCGCCGTTTGAAAGCGCTCAAACAAAACTGAGCGGAATCGGCACGTCGCCCGATCTCACGCTCCCTGCACATGATTTTGCGGACACAAAAATCGCGCGAAGAGGTTTCCGACCCGGGCCCAAGCAGCGCAAGCCCTTGTCCCGAATCCAGCCCCATCCTGCATCCACAGCTCTGGGCCGGCGCGGGGGCCCCAGAGGGTGTCCATGCGGGGGGGAGATGGGGTCCCATGGCCCGCCGCAGGCGCCGATTTTTCGGCGTTTTTTTTCTTTTTTCGCAATTTTTTACTTGTTTTCATGGGAATTCGGCGTACTTGCGGCCATGCTATCACGCCTTGCGACAGCCTGTCGGCGCAGCTGACCGTGCCATGATGCACAATTGATCACCTGCATAGCTCGCGGCCTTAGTATCAAGCATTCAGTGACGACCTGATCGTACGGCCAGTAGGAAGGTGTCCTTCCAGCTGCGTGCACGCTTCTGGCGCAATGCGCGTCACCTCGGATTGGCTGCTGGCACTCTCGAGGCTATGCCTACACAGCCTCGCGCGCATGGGCAGTCAAGAGGGACCACGCACCTTCTCAGGACAGCGCCGGTGCCTCTCTCTTGGACCGGCAAACTTGGTGGTCTCGTGTCACCAATGTGGGACCAGTGTGGCATCGCGCCATCGACAGCTCCGAACTGCGCCTCACCACTGACCGGGAAGGCCGCCAAGTGGGTCAGCACCGGTCGCACATTGTGGCAGCAGTCAGCAGTGCATGGCTGATAGCTAGAGCAGCAGCGTCAGGGTCGCAGGGTCGGATCGTGTCAAGCCTCTCGCCCGGCCGGCCGCGTGCAGACGTCGGCCTGTCTGCTGTCTGGAGTGATCTGTCGGCGGTCAGTACGACCGATCAGGTAGGAGTTTTCTGATGGTCGGAGGGTCTGTCTGTATGTACTCCTCGAGATCTCTCCAAATCTGCCCTCTAATCAACCGTAATCATTCGGGAAGTCGGTGCTAATAGAGACTAATAGAGCCGGGGCCCCGTTTCCGCACTGCTGCGCGGCGCACGGTGCCTCCGGGGGGCCCCGCGCCGGCCCAGAGATCCACAGGAGAACAGGACCAGGGGTTCCCCGGGTCTTGACATGGCGTCCCAGGCTTCTTTGTTTCTTTGTTTCTTTTTCGAATCCAGCTGGGCGGGCGGGTAATGGCGTCCCGAGTCAGCAAGCGCGCCGCGCCGCCGTCCACCTCGGGCAATTGCGTAAGCGCGTCTACCCCACAACCCCGTGTCCCGAACCCAGCAGCGTTGTTGTGCGCGGCGGTAATGGCGTCCGCCGCCCGCAAGCGCGCCCGCACCGGCGAGGGCGGCGAGGAGGACGAGGAGCCCGTACCGGTCGCGGATGGCTTCGAGGCGCCCATCTTTGGCGCGCGCATCGTCGGACAGGTCACCACGCTGGCGCTCGAGGGCGAGGACGGGCCTCTATCGTTCGGTCCGGTTGGCGTCGCGAGCGACCACGCGGGCGCCTGGTACGTCTCGACCAAGGACTCGCTGCTGCACGTCTCGGCGGCCGGGCGCGTGCGCCGCGTGGCAGCCTTGCCGGCAAGGGACGAAGGCTACAGCGCTGCTGCCAGCCCAGACGGGAGCGCGGTGTTTGTGGCGGACTCCAGCGGCAACGAGATCCGGCGGGTGGAGGTGGCGACGGGAGAGGTGACAACGCTCGCGGGCAGCGGCGAGTTTGGCGACGCGGATGGTGTTGGCGACGCGGCGGAGTTCTACAGCCCAACTGGCATCGCTATCAGCCCAGACGGCGCGCTGTTTGTGACGGACCTCGACAACGACAAGATCCGGCGGGTGGAGGTGGCGACTGGCTCTGTGACGACGATCGCGGGCAGCGGCCAGGTAGGCGGCGCGGATGGCGTGGGCGACGCGGCGCAGTTCGATAACCCAGCCGGCATCGCCATCAGCCCAGACAGCACTGCACTGTTTGTGGCGGACTTCACCGGCCACAAGATCCGGCGGGTGGAGGTGGCGACGGGCGCTGTGACCACGCTCGCGGGCGGCGGCACCATGGGAAGCGCTGACGGCGTGGGCGACGCGGCGCAGTTCTACAACCCAAGTGGCATCGCCATCAGCCCAGACGGCGGCGCGCTGTTTGTGGCGGACTACGGCAACGACAAGATCCGGCGGGTTGAGGTGGCGACGGGCGCGGTGACAACGATCGCGGGCAGTGGCACCAGTGGCAGCGCTGACGGCGTGGGCGACGCGGCGGAGTTCCACGGCCCAGATGATGTCGCCATCACCCCCGACGGCAGCACGCTGTTGGTCAGTTCCAACGGTGGCCTCCATCAGGTCTGCGTGGCGGCGCCTCCTCCGCCTCCCTCCTTTGCCCCGATCGTCGTTCCGCCTTCGACCCTTGGAGCTGACCTCGCAAAGACGCGGGGCGACGCCTCCCTCCCAGAGGGGAAGGTCACCTTCCTGGTCGGCGACGACGAGGAGCGCGTCGAGCACGTGAGCAAGTGCAACCTCTGCGCCCGGTCCCCGGTCTTTCGGACCATGTTTGGCATCGGCATGAAGGAGCGCGACGCCGCCGAGGTCACGGTGTCCCACACCGACCTCGCCAGCTTCACCGCCCTCGTGGACTACCTCCTCACCGACAAGTTCGACCTCGGCGAGGAGGAGGGCAGGGCGCAGCGCGCGCTCGACCTGCGGGAGCTGGCGCAGATGTACCAAGTGCCGCGCCTCGAGCTGCTCTGCGCGCAGGCGCTGCAGGAGGGCGTCGCGCCGGCGACCGCCGTGCCGCTGCTCGAGGCGGCGCACACGATGGGCGACGGGCGGCTCCTCGCGCAGTGCCGCCGCTACGTGGCCGACCACGCCGCCGAGGTGCGGGCGAGCGGCGGCGTGGAGCAGCTGCGCGACTTTGGCGTGGCCAAGGGGCTGCTCGGCGACGCGCTCGACCAGGTGGCGGAGCTGAAGGGCGCGATGCGCGCGCTCCGCGTCGCGGAGAGCTGAGAGCGCCCGATCGAGTACCGGAGCAGTGTGACAGCGCAGCGCGCCGAGTACAGGGAGCGCGTTCCCGCGCACCGTTTTGATTTGTCTACGCACCCTGCGAGCCCGTGTCCCGACTCCAGCGCTCGAAAAATGCGATCATGTGCGTCAGATGTCCCGGTGGTCATCTTTGGCCAACCTCCGCCTCCGCAGCCCCCGACGGCGCACCGCAGTCTCGGGGCGCAGTCCCGCGCACCGCTCTCCCCGCCTCTAGCCGCTACACGTACCCCCCAGTGTGTGTGTGGTGTGTCCTACCCTCACCCTCTCCTCTCTCCTCTCTCTCTCTCTCTCTCTCTCCTCTCTCTCCTCTTGTCTGTGCTGTCTGCCTGACTCAGGCACTCAATCTGCCGATGCGTGATTGTGTGTGGGCTGCTCCGAGGGGGCCCTCTGTGCGATCCGACGGGTAGGGGGGCTGTGCCCGGGCGGTGTCCGGTGTGGAGTCCCCTTCTGATCCCGCCTGGGATGTTGGGTGTGAGGTTGTGGCGGCTTCGATCCCAAGGGGGGGAGCTGATCCCACTCAATAACCAACTCTCAGGGGCAGTAGGTGGGCGAGCTTCAGGCACGCTCATCTCGATCGTCAAGACGTGTCGCTACGCGCGGTCTTCCGCGGGGGGAGCTGCGTCGACGGGTGCGGGACCGCGGCGCAGTCAGTGCCGTGGCGATGCCTCCGGCTGTTTGCGGCGGGCGGCTTGCTGCTCGCGGCGATGGCGAAAAACTCGTCTCGCCACACGCCAAGGGCTTATGCTCTGGCGAGACGTGAGGCGCATGCGCCCAGGAGGGGAGGGGGCATGTGTAACGACACTGCTAGAGATGCCTTTCGGGGCCCAGAGATAAAACTTCTGTGATGCCATGCGTGACCTAGTAGTGTCCCCAGCTATGGGCGTGTCCACGTTGGAGCCAGGTGTGGTGTGGGCGCGAGAATAGCTCCGCCGTTCATGGAGGCAACCGATGCGAGTCGACTGGTGTGTGTCGTCGTGGTTTCGTATCAAGAATACTCACTCACACGTACCCCCCAGCACTGCCAGCAGCGCCATCGGCTACGTACCCCAGCACTGCCAGCAGCGCCATCGAATTAGAGCCGGTCGCGCTGATCAGCGGTTCTTTTTTCCGTCTTTTTTGCAAAAGAATTCGTCGCGCAGGTGTATTTTATTTTTGCTTGGGGCGGCACTCATGCTGAAATTCTGGAAAAACCTGAGCGGCCCCTGCGGTGCCCCTACCTACCTACCTACCTACCTACCCTACTTATGGGAAACTAAAAAAGAAATCACCGGATGGGTGAAGGTGGGGTACTATACCAACTGAAGTGATGGTTGGTGGTACTCTCCTGCAACCACAGTCCTTCCTGTGACATGGCAGGCCACTCTCAGGCCCTACAAAGCATCAGATCACCCACTTGGGGAGGGTTGACATCGTGATTTCCGCGGAAAATTTCTTTTTCTGCTGTGAAAATTCCGGTGTGAAGAGAGGGAAAAACCCGAGGGGAGGGCCCAGACCTACCCTACCTACCCCGGCATGAGTGCCGCCCAAGCAAAAATAAAATACACCTGCGTCGCGAGGAAGCCGCCGCGGGCCATGCTGCTCTTGATGCCCAAGCCAGCGTGGCTCTTTCACTTCCTCCGGCGCCAATCGCCTCCCCCTCCTCCGCCGCCGGCCGCGGCCCTCGAGTCGCCGCGGGCAATCCTCGCCGTGCTGCTCTTTGCAGTTCTGGCTGCTTTCGGCGGCCTCATCACCGAGGAGGCGAGGCCGCTCGTCGCCATCGCACGGATCATTGCGCGACTGCGCCAGAGTCGCGGCAGCTCGGCGGACGCGAAGAGTGCGACGCAGCTCAGCGACCGCAGCAGTCGGCTCGACGATGCGGAGCTGGCCGTCCTCGTCCCGCTGCTCAGCGCCCTCCCGGCAGAGTGCCTTCGGAATGCGGCCTGCGTGTCTCGTGCCTGGGCCGCGGCCTGCTCCTCCGACGACAGCGCTCTCTGGCGCGGGCTCGTCCTGAGGCGCACCGCAGTCCCGGGCGGCCAAAGGCGAGAGGAGCGGACAACCACGCCCACCTACCCGCTTCCGCGCTCGGTCGTACTAGGCGCTGGCCGGGGCTAGCTGGCCTCTCGAGCGCCGGAGTCGACTGGCGGCGGCGCTACTGGACGCTCGTCCGCGACGGGCTGGGCAGCCAGAGAGGCTGAGGGCATTGGAGCCGCTTCTCGGAACCCTTGCACGCACCTTCTCGGAACCTTCCCCATAGGCAGCCAGGAGGCCGAGGCGCCGCCGCCGCTCTTGACCTTCCTGCCGCTCATCTCGGGCGATCTCGGGCGATCTCGGGTGATCTCGGCTGCATAGGACCCGCTGCGGCATCTCACCTTCCTGCTCCAGGGCCGCTTCCAGGGCCAAGACGCCGTCGCCTTTTCGCGCGCAGCGACGGCGCGGCGCGGTGGTCTTCGTTGGAACTCATCTCGTCTCTGCTGACTCAACGATGCGAGTTGTCTTTGTCAGGTGCGGCGCGTGGTGCGCGATGTGGGGCTGCCGAACCAGCCAAACGCCACGGTGCGCAACGGCCGCTCGGAGCGACTCTGTCGGTCGTTTCGGGTGAGTGAGGTCTCGTCGTTTGAACCGGCAGGTGCGCAACGCACTTGAGCTCGAGCTGCCTCCTCTTCGACAGGGCGTCGCCCTCCCGCAGAGCTGGCACGCGACGGTGTTGGGAGGGGTGCCTGCCTGCGCGGCGAGGAGGGGCGGCGCATGCGCGAGGTTTGTCCTCTTCACGGCTTGACGGCGGGTGTGAACAGGCGCCTGGCGGCGGCGAGGAGGGCGGTGGTGACCTCGACGTCCTACCGAACCCGGTGCCGAACAGCGACGAGGAGGGGGAGAGCGACGGCAACGAGGAGGAGGTGGCCCGGGGGCTGGAGGCTCCCCTCGGTCTGATCTGGGGGCGATCTCGCGTGATCTCGCGTGATCTTGGAGAGTAGGATCCTGCCGCTGGCGGGGAGGGCGGCGGGGAGGGCGGCGGGGAGGGCGGCGGGGAGGGCAGCGGGGAGGGCGGCGCAGGCGCAGCGGGCAAGTTGCCGATCCTCTTCCCACCCGCTCCCTCGCAGCGTCCGCTCTGCTGTTGCCAGGTGCGAGAGGGAGGGAGGGGCTGGAGGTGCAGATTCTCCTGCACGACTCGGCCCGCCACGCGGTGGCCCACTTCCTCGCCTTCACCCTCCACAAGGAGGACCTGCGGCCGGGGGGGGCGGAGCACGCGCACGCGGCCATGCGAGCGCCGCGCGACTTCAGGGCGACGTCGCGAGGGACGCGGATCGAGGTGGGGTGTCGGGCCGCCAGACGAGAGCGGCCCTGAGAGCGGCCCTGTGCATGAGGTCTCAAGATTCGATTCCCTCGTCAGGCGGGTGTCGGGCCGCCAGACGAGAGCGGCCGTCGCGCGACGCCGCACTGGGTCACGATGATGACGCAGGTTCGTCACACATCGATCTCCCCATATCTCCCCATAGCTCACGATGATGACGCAGGGTCGTCATCCTAATGGAAGTGAGTCATCGCGAATTGGTTCATACTGGTCACGGCGACGCCGGAGATCTGCCTTCTCTACCTCATTGAGTGATGTATTCCTAATCGGTTGGGTCACAACGACGCAGGAGATCGACTTCTCCATCCTCTCCGCGCCGCTCACGCTGCGGGCGAGTGCAGCCAAATGCGGAACAACAATCTCCCCATACCTCCCCATACCTCCCCAGATCTCGAGGCCTAGAAGCGGAGCACAGGTCTTTGTTCTCAGCGTTGTACTCCGAGCAGTTGGCACCTAGCACACGCCCATGACGCGTCCACGACACGTCCCATGAACAGGCGAGCCCGCTGTGGCTCGGACTCCGCTCGACGCCGCCAACGCCGGCGGTGGACAATTCGCAGCATCTGGCGCCGTCGCTGGCGATCACGTCGCTCGGGTTCGGGCTGAGCATCTGCATCGAGGCGGGCGAGTTTGGCGTGCTGGATGTGCCGCTGCAGGCGACCAACGTCGGCGCAGAGTACTTGAGTTGGGCGTGAGACGCGTGAGAGGCGCAATCCTCCACACCAGTCCTCAGTCCAGAGAGCCAGTACTGCTTTTAATTGGACTCGAAGAGAGCGCGCCTACGCTTACTCACGTACTTATACGCACCCGGGACATCAACGGTGTCGCAGAGGATCGCGCTCGCCCTGTACACGGCGCGCTGCGCTGGGCTGTCAGCTGTCACACACTGCTATCACTGGTGCCAAACGGAAGCGGCGAGCGATCACAGGGCGCGGGGCGCTGCCCCTCACTCATGCCCGCTCGGCCACCTCCGCCCGGACCTTCTCGAGCTCCGCGTCGCGCGCCGCCACCGTCCCCTTCAGCTCCGCCACCTGGTCGAGCGCGTCGCCGAGCAGCCCTTGGCCACGCCAAAGTCGCGCAGCTGCTCCACGCCGCCGCTCGCCCGCACCTCGGCGGCGTGGTCGGCCACGTAGCGGCGGCACTGCGCGAGGAGCCGCCCGTCGCCCGTCGTGTGCGCCGCCTCGAGCAGCGGCACGGCGGTCGCCGGCGCGACGACCTCCTGCAGCGCCTGCGCGCAGAGCAGCTCGAGGCGCGGCACTTGGTACATCTGCGCCAGCTCCCGCAGGTCGAGCGCGCGCTGCGCCCTGCCGCCCTCCTCGCCGAGGTCGAACTTGTCGGAGAGGAGGTAGTCGACGAGGGCGGTGAAGCTGGCGAGGTCGGTGTGGGACACCGTGACCTCGGCGGCGTCGCGCTCCTTCATCCCGATGCCAAACATGGTCCGAAAGACCGGGGACCGGGCGCAGATGACGCACTTGCTGACGTCGTCGATGCGCTCCTCGTCGTCGCCGACCAGGAAGGCGACTTTCCCCTCTGGCAGGGAGGCGTCGCCCCGCGTCTTTGCGAAGTCGGCTGCAAGGGTCGAAGGCGGAACGACTATCGGGGCAAAGGAGGGAGGCGGAGGAGGCGCAGCCACGCAGACCTGGCGGAGGCCACCGTTGCAATTGACCAACAGCGTGCTGCCGTCTGGGCTGAGGGCGACTTCATCTGGGCCGTCGAACTCCGCCGCGTCGCCCATGCCGTCAGCGCTGCCCTCCGTGCCACTGCCCGCGACCGTCGTCACCTCGCCTGTCGCCACCTCAACCCGCCGGATCTTGCGGTTGCCGTTGTCCGCCACAAACAGCGCGTCGCCGTCTGGGCTGATGGCGAGGCCACTTGGGTTGTTGAACTCCGCCGTGTCGCCCACGCCATCCGCGTCGCCATCCTCGCCGCTGCCCGCGATCGTCGTCACCGCGCCAGTCGCCACCTCAACCCGCCGGATCTTGTGGTTGTGGAAGTCCGTCACAAACGCGCGCCGCCGTCCGGGCTGATGGAGATGCTAAGTGGGCTGCAGAACTCCGCCGCGTCGCCCACGCCATCCGCGTCGCCACTTTCGCCGCTGCCCGCGAGTGTGGTCACAGCGCCAGTCGCCACCTCCACCCGCCGGATCTTGTGGTTGCTGGAGTCCGCCACAAACAGTGCAGTGCTGTCTGGGCTGATAGCGATGCCAGTTAGGCTGTCAAACTCCGCCGCGTCGCCCACGCCATCAGCGTCGCCTTCCTCGCCGCTGCCCGCGATCGTGGTCACCTCGCCCGTCGCCACCTCAACCCGCCGGATCTCGTGGCTGCTGTAGTCCGCCACAAACACCGCGCTCCCGTCGGGGCTGGCCGCAGCGGTGTAGTAGTTACTTGCCGGCAAGGCTGCCACGCGGCGCACGCGCCCGGCCGCCGAGACGTGCAGCAGCGAGTCCTTCGTCGAGACGTACCAGGCGCCCGCGTGGTCGCTCGCGATGCCGACCTCACCGAGCGATAGAGGGCCGTCCTCGCCCTCGAGCGCCAGCGTGGTGACCTGTCCGACGACGCGCGCGCCAAAGATGGGCGCCTCGAAACCATCCGCGACCGGCACGGGCTCGTCCCCGTCACCGCCGCCGCCGGTGCGGGCGCGCTTGCGGGCGGCGGACGCCATTGCGCCCAAGCCTGGGACAACGCCTGCTGGATACGGGACACGGGCGTGTGGGTTGTCTGAGAAATGTTGGTTGAGCTCCTAACGGGCTTGTGCGGTACTCGAGTATGCGACTTCAACGGCGTCGCGAATCGGTACACGGCGCGCGCTGCGCTGCCACACCCCGCACGCTGCTCTCACTACAGTGCCAAACGGCGAGCGATCGCAGGGCGCGGGGCGCTGCCACTCACTCATGCCCGGAGCCGAGTGTGCGGTTTGTGTGAAGTTGCAACTTGACGGTTACGGCGGCGACGGTCGCCGCTGCGTGCGCCGCTCTGGTCGCGCCGATGCCAGGCCAGTCGAGCGAGGCCGCCTCGACGCGCGCGCTGTACAACCAGTCGCAGGAGCTAGAGGGGCTGCAGCGTGTGTTTGACGGCATCGACAAGAATAACGACAAGAAGGTCGTAGGGCTGCAGAGAAGCTGCGTATCTCAGTCGTTCTTCACAACAGCCATCGCGCAGAGCAGATTGTGAATGAGCTTGCCTGCGGCGAGGGCGGTCGAGTGCATGGAGCTAAGTGCCTCGCCGTCCTCGCAGGAGTCGCTAGGGTGGTGTACCTGTGTTAGTGCCAGTGCATGAGTGCGCGCCAGTCCCATTCCGAGTGAGTTAGAGTCCGACTCGTAAAAGTCTTTTTTGGTGTTAGTGCCATTGCGCGCCAGTCCCTGCGCGCGGCGGCGGTGGCGGGGCTGCGGGCGGGCGAGGGGGCCATCTTCGACCACGCCGACCTCACCGAGACCGAGGCGAACTCTTGTCAGCAGCAGCAGTAGCAGCAGCAGCGGCAGCAGGAGTAGCAGCAGCAGCAGCAGCAGCTACAGCGGCAGTAGCAGCACAGCAGTCCCATCTTTGCACTTTGGAAGTCAGGAATTGCCTGTTGCTAGGTCATTGACTGCCAGCTTCCCGGCTCGATGTGGCGCGGCGCGACACTCTGGCTCTCCGTCTTCAGCCGTGCGCCCGCGCCCCCCCCCTCTCGCCAAATATATGTCTACGTAGAACAAAAACTTGGAGCACTTGGAGTGCAGTCCTTAGTAGGTAGGTAGTAAGGTGAAGAACAGCCAGGCTCGGACTGGACACCAACGCGGTATGGGTGGACGCTAGACAGATGATGACGACACGCACGAGCGACACACAGACACAAACAAGCTCACAAGACACACAGCCAGCTGGCTGCCACACACCCTGAGTTGGCGTACACATAACTCAGGGCCACATCCTCCCTGTCGCCCCCCCCAGCACTCCACGGTGCCAAGGGCACAAACAAGGGCACAACTCAAACAACTCAAACAACAGACGACAGGAAGTGATATGTGAGGCTAGAGCAGTTTGCTCCACCTCTAGCAATCTCTCCGGCCGGCGAGGCACGGACGAGACCGTGTGTGGGGTCTAAGTGAGGTGTCTATGGACGCTCTCCTCACGGGCTAGCCGCCTACGGCTAGCCCTTCTCGCACTCACAGGCGGTGACAGTCCAATGTATGAGCGTATGCAAGTTGAGGCGCGTGGGCTAAATCTAGGCCGCACGTCGTGGCACTATGACGAAGTAGACGTGCGGCCGCAGCGCGCCCGCCGCAGGCTCGGCTGTGCGCGCGTGTTAGCGACAAAGTTGCGGGTGGAGCCATGCCCGACTCTTCGAAGGTGAGGCCTCTGCGACGAGTGCCAGCCGCGCTGCGGAGCCACGCCCTTCGAGCCGCGTCCCGTCAGCACTGTCCCCGAGTGGTCCCGCCTCAGCGGCACACACTCTCGACCAGGACAGTCCCGCCAACGGAAACGTGTCGCGCGCCGGCGACGATTGCGGCGTGGTCGTTTTGAAGCAAAGATGGCACGACCACCGCCCTGCTTCGCAGACCGGGCAAGGAGGGGCCCGCTCCCGTTCCGCGAGGAACAGGAGTTTCCCCCCCTCCCCCGGCCTGAGCAGCGGCGGGAGGAAGGCAGCCCCTTGAGTCCAGGGCGGCACGACCCATGCGATGCTTCCACCGCTACAGGCCGCCTCCAATACCATGTTTGCGCCCTCCTGCCTCCCCTCC